AAAAGAAAACCAATTTCAACAAATAGTTGCTGGATCATTTAATTATTATTGATCCATAATTCCTTTTCCAGCTGCTATTCATATTGGAATTCTTCATTTAGAATAGAAACAATGAATAATTACATCAATTGAATCTAAACGATCAAAAAAGATGAATTCAACATTCATTATAATAAAATATCAGTTTAACGTTAAGTAATGATGAATCTTATTATTGGAATTTTTCACAAATAACTACTTATTATGAACAATGAGTTTCGGAAGTTAAACCGTAAGAAAAATTCATCAAAAACCAATTTGTCCATTTCTCTCATTGATTGAAATTAAGAAAAACAAAAAGGATTTTCAAATAAAACAAAATGAATGTTAAATGATAATTGAATATTCACTCGTGAAAAAGTAGTACAATCGATTTTAGTAAACGAACGAAGCAGATAAAGCATAATAAAATTAAGCCAACCAATATCAAATACATTTTTAAAAAATTTAAGAGATCGAATATATATATATACTTGATAGTAGTCGATAGAGAAGAATTTTCTCTATCGAATTACACTTTAAGTTTTTCTCGAAAAAGTAGCTATAAGATTAAATCAACAAAATACTACGACCAATTCAATTACAGATTACTATTAGTGGTGTCACCATGAAAAAATACAGTCATTAAGTTCAAAAAGTTGTCTGAATTTTCGAATTTTTTTTTCGTTAAATCGGATTTCTTTGTATTTGTTCGTGTCTGAGTCGATTGAAAAATGCAACAGCATTCAAATCTCTCTCCTTACAAAATTATAGCATATGCATAAATCGTGTATCAATAGTGTATTATGTTGCTATGGATTCCGTAGTTTGTAAGATTTTGATATCTCAAAAACTCGATATGGTCCGAAAAAAAACGGACTTTACCAAGTCTTAGAGAAACTACTGTATTCATCTAATCTTCAGGAAAAGTGTCCTGACATATGGGCCCACTTAGTAGGTTAAAGTTTTCTCTATTTGATAATGATTCGATGATTCATCTCAATTTTGATCGTAGAATTGCACATGTTTGATATTCATATCTAATGCTCTCTCCCTCCTTATTATTAGTGTATACAAAAACAATGTCCTTACAATTTCAACGGCACTTATGAGCAAAGAAAAAAAAAGAAAATGTAATAAGGAACAGCACTATCGTTCCAGTTGAACGAATGAACAAAAATGATAAATGTATCGATTATATATATCTATAGATATAAGGAATAGGTAATAACAAACAAAAAAAAATGACTCTTATGTTTGAATCATTGTCAAATGAAATTTGGCTTATTATATTTAGTTATCTATCTTCACGGCATATTTGGCGAGGTTTTGTTGGAATTAATAAACGTTTGAATCAATTACTAACTTCTGATCTAATTTGTCATACTATCGACTTGAAAGATATATCGTATTCTGAAATAGTTGAACTACTTGAAGATCGTGACAATAATTCATATGATCATCAACGGCAAGCAGAATTTGTTTCTCATGCTCATGCAATTTGTTTTGAAAATCAATTTGATTATGAGATACTAATTGATCGATGGATAACTACAAAAACAAATTGGCAATTCTCATCTATACAAAGTAGTTATATTTTACTGAATGCTATAAAAAGCATGTATTCATTAGTTTCTCAACTTAAATTTACAATATTTCTCGAATCAGAACTTCATTATCTTCGTCTTGTTGTTGAAGATTCATATTACAGTTATCATTCTAGTATTTTATAATTAAGCACGTTTAACACATCATGTATTTTCTTTTCTTTTCGAAAAAATATAAGTATTATGCACACTTTGAGAGAGGAAATTGATGTTCTGTAAAAAAAGACATTACTCAACGGTTATTAATCGCTAAGAGTATAATCTCTTGAAAGATATGAACTTTTATGAAAAAAATTGGGTTCACTGAAATCTACGATGATATTATATTACTGAGTTTTGCATTTATGACAGGAAAAGAGATGATGAGGAACAGTGAAATGAAAGTGAATAACTACAAAGAGAGAGTCATATATTTCTATTCTCAAAATATTATAGAATATTGAATAGTAATGGATGCCAACAGATGTGACTTTCACATCTATATCAGACGAAATAGATGGTACACGAAACTGCACTAAAAGTGGATGACTGTAGATAATAGCTGATTTTACTAGTAGGAGTCAAAAAATAATAGTCTTTTAGTCACTCATGAGCATATTTATTATTTCGAAGTGACTTTTTTTCAAAAGCAGTATATCGATTAGTACAAAGTATTGTCTATTTAAAAATATAATGTGTTTCACTATTTTTTGAATGATTCCCGATCATTCAAAACTATCGAGGTCAGATTTTTGCCATTTGATAGAGCAAGCTATGGGACGTCTATCTACGTAAAATTCATCAGGACTGAAGAAAATTTTTTGTGTTTGTGTTTCAAACTGATATCTATTAGTTGTCATTTTTCATTAGTTTTTACAGCGATCTAGACTCAAATTATACCAACGAGTAGTTCGAGAAGTTCTATACTCATAATAAAGATTTTGCATCTTTATGTATTTTAGTTGAAGGAGAAACCTAAATATTTCAAGATAAATATAGCACTTATCAAGCTACTTTGGTGTAGTTTAAGTCTAGGTCGCTGTAAAAACTAATGAAAAACGACGCATAATAAGATATCAGTTTGAAACACAATCACAACAAACTTCTTCAACCCTAATGAATTTTACATGGATAGACATCTTCCAGTTTGCTCTATCAAATGGCAAAAATCCGACCTTGATATTTTTGAACGATCAAGAGTTATTCAAAAAAAAATAGTAGAGCACATTATATTTTTAAATGAACAATAGTAAAGTCATGTTATTAACTAAAAGTATCGTTGCATAAGTACTTTTTTTTTAAATTTCTCGAGTGCTAGAAGATGGAACCAAGCCTTTTCTTTCTAAATCTCTCGTTTTTTTTCCTTTACAGTGAGATTGAATATTTGTTTACACATATAAATGAAAACGCGTTCTAATTTTATTTTCTAAATTTAGATTTAGTCTAAAAAATTGTTTTTTTTGTAATAATCATCACGTTTCTCAATTCCGCTGAATAATTTATTATACACTTCTCTTTACTTTTATTCTACTGCTCTCACAATGTGAGTTAATTTACCCATTCAGTAGACAATGATAATGGAAAAAAAATGAACCGTTCCAAATTGAATATGCAAAAACATCGATTACACACCTAGGTTCAAAAAGTTCTTGGACTAATTTTATTTAAAAACAGCAAGAAGCGCTGTTACATTTCAATTCATTGTTGCCTGTACTTCATAGAGTACTCTATCCAATGGCATAAAAGACTCTTATTGATTGAAATCTTTGAGTGCTTCAATCGGAAACTTTTTGTATCATATTAAAAGCATTGATAGACAATAGAATATTTGAGTATAGTTCCGTGACAGTCCTTCTTGAATACGAAAATCAATCGCTATTTAATGTCTATAAACTTCTGGTACCAGTTCATGATAATCATGAGCATTTGTACGATGAGCTACCATCCTAAGTTTCTACGTATTGAATAGCGACCGATTTTTGCATTCAAAAAAGCCTCTCACTGAACTAGGGTGTGGATGTGGGGTGGTTGTGTGGGTGGGTGTGGGTGGCGGGTGTGGGGTGTGAGTGTGAGTGTGTCTTTTCTCTATCCATACCCACCCCCACACCCACTCACCCACACCCACACGCCACACCCATCCCCACACCCACACCCCACACCCCACACCCCACACCCACACCCCCACACCCCCACACCCCACACCCACACCCACCCATACCCACACCCCACACCCACACCCACACCCACCCACACCCACACCCACCCACACCCTTTTTTACACGTCCTTAAAATTCATATGCAACGAACGGGAAAGTTGCAACTCGTCACGATTTTTCTAGTCTGGCTTTCGTAACGAATTGACAGTACGAAAGCCCGTAACAGAGGTTTCGTAACCACAGAATCAGAGCTTTCGTAACAAAAAATCAGAGCTATCGTAACGAATTTTACAGGGTGATCGTAACCGGTGGTTCGATATGTGACTTCGTTACGATACCCCTAATTTTTGTTACGAAATCTCTGTTGGCTCGTTGCGAAAACTCTGCAACTGTTACGAACTCCCTGTAAATAACAGCTACGATTGCCCTGTAAATTTTGTTACGATATCCCTGTTTTCTCGTATATCCCTATTTTTAGCGTTACGAAAACCCTGTTTTTTCTGAAAAATTCAACTCGTCACGTGACGAGTTGCAACCTTCTCCAACGAACACATACTTTTTCGCTTCTAGAGGAGTCAAGAAATTTTTGCACCTTCATCACCTTCTTGAATAAAATAGAAAAGGTAGGTTTAATGCATGAGAGCACGTGTGTTTTATGGTAGCGATTGCAGAAAGCAACGGTTTATTTGCACAACATCAAGATGTCAAGAGAGCCTCCATGAGAAGATCGAGCATGACCCCAGTATATGAAGCCCTTGTCAAAATTTAGATTTTTGATTTTTTGTGTGCATTCGAATGGGTATGGTCTAAACTACTAAACCTAAATTTTTAGCTCATTTGGATTTTTTATAGTAAAGTTAGCCTTGATCGACTTCTAGCGCCATCTATCTACAGAGGTTGCCAAAATTATAGACCCCCCTCACATATATGAACAAAGATCTATTTCCTATTTTCAAAACATGTACTACAGATCTATTAACAATATGTGTGCATGCTATGGTTCAAGCACTACTAAGTTCCAATGTCTCTCAGTTTCGTCACTCTCTATTTGAAGAAAAAAATTGGCGATTGTGAAAATTCGTTGTACCATAATTATAGACCCCCCTGCAACATTAAGCAATTTATTCTATTTTGACCCTACTTTTATACTGCGAAGTGCTTCGTTTTGACAGTCATTGTAGTATAAACCTTTTCCTAAGGTTTTCACCCTATTGCAAGTTTATCTAGAGCTTATTCACTTGAAAAACCATGATATGTGGTGCTCTATCTAGGTTTTTACCGTTTTTGATCCAAATCCGATGATGAGACCATTATTTCATGAGCCAAATGCATTTAAATCTACGAAAGTCAGTCTCATCTCCTAAACTAGTCTATTAAAATCAAAGTTTGACATGATTTGATTGGATAACATAGGTAAGTTACTTGAGGGTGAAGGTTCCTTCTCATAGTGATTGGCAAAAACGAGATGATTACTACTAGCATTCGAGAGTATGAACCAAATTGAATGGTAGCATTAGAAAGAGCAGATCAAGTTGTATTCAAAATAAGGAAGAGCTGCTATGTAACTTAACTTCTGAAAACATTAAGACCAATACATTTAACATCGACGAAATTCAATACTACGGAGAAAAGATGATAACGAAAAGATTCATATCACTTCAACAGGAGTCAAGCCGAATCGCCTTCTTTTTTGCTTTCTACGAAGATATGATACTGAATAACGTAATGGACACATAACGGTCCAACATATCATACGCATCGTTTTATCTATCTGCGATATGCAGCGTGTGCTCATTTCAGCCCTTCATTGGGTTTCGTCGATGTTAAATGTATTGGTCTTAATGTTTTCAGAAGTTAAGTTACATAGCAGCTCTTCCTTATTTTGAATACAACTTGATCTGCTCTTTCTAATGCTACCATTCAATTTGGTTCATACTCTCGAATGCTAGTAGTAATCATCTCGTTTTTGCCAATCACTATGAGAAGGAACCTTCACCCTCAAGTAACTTGCCTATGTTATCCAATCAAATCATGTCAAACTTTGATTTTAATAGACTAGTTTAGGAGATGAGACTGACTTTCGTAGATTTAAATGCATTTGGCTCATGAAATAATGGTCTCATCATCGGATTTGGATCAAAAACGGTAAAAACCTAGATAGAGCACCACATATCATGGTTTTTCAAGTGAATAAGCTCTAGATAAACTTGCAATAGGGTGAAAACCTTAGAAAAAGGTTTATACTACAATGACTGTCAAAACGAAGCACTTCGCAGTATAAAAGTAGGGTCAAAATAGAATAAATTGCTTAATGTTGCAGGGGGGTCTATAATTATGGTACAACGAATTTTCACAATCGCCAATTTTTTTCTTCAAATAGAGAGTGACGAAACTGAGAGACATTGGAACTTAGTAGTGCTTGAACCATAGCATGCACACATATTGTTAATAGATCTGTAGTACATGTTTTGAAAATAGGAAATAGATCTTTGTTCATATATGTGAGGGGGGGTCTATAATTTTGGCAACCCCTGTATTATCAACAAAAATAATGATAAATTATCTCATCAATGTCTACTAAAATTAAATTACCAGAAGTGAGAGAATTTCTTCATAGAATATACGAAATGAGGGTGTGTGTGTGGGGTGTGGATGTTAGCAATACAGAATCAAATGTCACACTCACAGCAACTCCGACACCTACCAAAATCTCACACCCACACCCCAACTCCTTTGGAACTAAAATGTGGAACTCACGTATATCCTTCAGTCTTGTTATCTTAACATGTCATCTGTAAACTGAAAAGCTTCTTGTCGACTACAGTTGTTTTCGTAAATAATTGCTGACAAGAAAAATAATTGATCATTTATTTCTGCATAAAAATTTGAAACTGTCTTTTTCGTTTAAGCGCGCCCGATTTTTTTTATTATTGTTGCTATACACTCAATAATAATCATTTTTTTTTGTTTTTTTTTTATTTGAAATTACTT